GGGCGGGAAGTGGGGTGCGGGGAGAGGCCGCCCCCCGCTGGAAGAATCCTGGGCGACCTTGCAGAGGGCGGCTTGCTGCATTCACCCCGAAATGGTGAAGCTGGGGTGGAGAGCGGCTTGGGGCGCAGACCCCGGTGTCCCCAAGTCCAGTGGCTCCACGCGCTGCAAGGTAGGAGACTGACCAGGCCGCCCCTTCCCAAGCCCTCCCGCCTTCCCACAGGGGGCGGGGGGCTGTCCGCCGCCTCAGGCACCCCGACACCCGCTGAGGGAGGGTGACCCCAGTTTTATTCCCGAGACTCGGGAAGGCCTGGTTGTTTTCTCCGGACTTCCAGACTTGTCACAATGGGAAGGCTGGAGGCCTGGAGGCCGAGATCTGAGGATCGCAGCGTAGAGCCAGGCGGGGCAGAGAAGTCTGCATGCAGTCTGTTCTATCTAATTAATCACCAAAGCGCTGGCTGGCGGAGGAACTGTGAGCAAAACAGGCAAGGGAGAGTGCAAAGCCCTGAGTGTAAGCCCCAGTACCAGCACCGGAGCGTGCATGGGCACATGAGCATGCACACACACACACACACCCGCTGAGAGCGTGCATGGGCACATGAGCATGCACACACACACACACACCCGCTGAGAGCGTGCATGGGCACATGAGCATGCACACACACACACACACCCACTGAGAGCGTGCATGGGCACATGAGCATGCACACACACACACACCCGCTGAGAGCGTGCATGGGCACATGAGCATGCACACACACACACCCGCTGAGAGCGTGCATGGGCACATGAGCATGCACACACACACACACCCGCTGAGAGTGTGCATGGGCACATGAGCATGCACACACACACACCGCTGAGAGGAGAGGGGAGGAGAGGGGAGGGCTGGGCACTGTAGATCTGGCAAATGCCAAGGGCCAGGGCAGTCTGTGAGAGCCTGCATCTGCCTGGCACTCCCTGCCACATGCCCCCCCAGCCTGCTCAGGCCCTCCAGAGAGGTCTCTGGACACAGATACCCCACAGAGCTTGAACCAAGGGGGAGAAATCCCTAGACTCCAGAAATTATCAAGAGGACTATGTACAGCTGTATGTGGAAACTCTGGTGGCCTGCTGAATACACCCTAAAGAAACAAAAACATGTCCTCACCTAAATGTTCATAGCCAATTATTCACAGTGGCCTAAAGGTGGAAGCAACCCATCTTTATGAACTGATGGCTAAACAACATGTCATAGAATCACAAAATGGAATATTATTCAGCCAGGAAAGGAATGAGGTTCTTCTCCATACCATGGATAAAACTTGAAATGTGCTACCTGAGAGGGAAAAAAAAGCACATCTCACGTGATTCCACTTGCTAGGAATGCCTGGAGGAGGCAGGTTTCTCTATTGGAGACAGGTTCCACCTGGGGGGACAGAGGGGAGGTTTGGAGCCAGGCTGAAGTGGGTGGAGCAATGACAATGCTCTAGAGTTGATAGTGGTGGAGGGTGGACCAGCCTGTTGATAGGCTGAATGAACATCACTGAACTGTGAGCGGTAAGTGCCTGGCTGGTGTGGTGTGATATTGTATCTCAGTGAAGTTGTTACCAGAGGGGGAAAGAGTTGATTAGGGAAGCTCTGGACTAGGACAAAAGCAGAGGCAATCCTCCCCTCTCTCCCATTTGTGCTGAGGCAGAGGATCTTGAGTTCAGGACCATCCTGGGCTACTTAGCAACACCTCATCTTTAAAATGCCCCCAGCCCAGGAGTGAATCTCTCTTTACTCTTTTCCTTCTTCAGGCTGAGACACAGATGACACATCCATCAGCTGACAATGACTGGCACAAGGCCGGGGATGTAGCTCAGGGGCAGAGCACACACTTGTTCAGTTTGACAAGGCCCCATGTTTGATCCTAAGCACCATGACTGACAAAAAAAGGCAAGTGACAAAAAAAAATGACAATATTTAGCAAGACAGGGCTAGTCAATTTTGGTTTGTATAATCTATTTTTCCAAAGACAACAAGGAAGAAGAATTTTAAGAAATAATTATTGGGCTGGGCGCTGGTGGCTCATGCCTGTAATCCTAGCTACTCAGGAGACTGAGATCTGAGGATCGCAGTTCAAAGTCAGCCCAAGCAGGAAAAGTCTGAGAGACTCTTATCTCCAATAAACCACTCAGAAAACCAGAAGAGGTGCTGTGGCTCAAGTGGTAGAGCACTAGCCTTGAGCTGAAGAGCTGAGGGACAGTGCCCAGGCCAGAGTTCAAGCCCCACAACAGACAAGAGAACAAGAAAGAAAAAAAGAAAGAAAGGAAGGAAGAAAGGAAGAAAGGGAAGGAAGGAAAGATTATTGATCATTTACTATGTAAAACATAGTAGTATAAGTGTCAGTATTGATGTTTGAACTCAGGGCTGGGTGCTGTCTCTCTACTTTAGTGCTCAAGGCTCTACCGCTTGAGCCACAGCTCCACTTCTGGCTTTTTTGGTGGTTACTTGGACATAAGAGTCTCATGGACTTTCCTGCCAGGGCTGTCTTTGAACCACAATCCTTAGATCTCAGCCTCCTGAATAGCTAGTTTACAGGTGTGAGCCACCAGCACCTGACTCGTCTATTAGTTATTGTTTTTTGGTCAGTCGTGGTCCTTGAACTCCGGGGCCTAGGCGCTGTCCCTGCGCTCTTCTGCCCAAATCTAGTGCTCTAGCTCTTGAGCTACCATGCCACTTTCAGTTGTCTGGTGGTCAATGGAGGTGAATGTCTCACAGATCTCAGCCTCCTTAGGATTGCAGGCGAGCGCCACCCGCGCCTGGCTGCATGTTTGCTTTTGAGATAGGTTTATGAAAGGTCTCCAGGCAGGACTGGAAAGCTGGGCCCAAACTCTGGATCCACTTGACCTGTCCTCCAGAGGGCTGGGGTTATAGACATGTCCTACCACGCCTGGCTTTAGGCCTGTATTTGTCAATATTGTCAAATATATACTTTAGATTTGTGTTTTTGTCATTAGCGATTCATGTTGTATCAAAAGAAGCCCCTGTAAGTGAATCACAGACTAGTTAATGATGTGGAAGTTGGGAGCTATGGACATCTGCATTTTTTTCTGAGGCAGAATAAGATGAGAGATGGAGAGAGGGACAGAGAGACAGAGAGAAAGGGAGGGAGAGAGGGGGGGAGAAAGAGGGAGAAGGAGGGAGGAAAAGGGAGAAGGAGGGAGAGAAGGGAGGGACAGCTGGATAGATCTTCTTGACAGAGTAAAGGCAGTAAAATGTTTATTCTGGAACCAAGCCAGTAAGCATACCAGTGTTCGGTGCCACATTCAGTCCAAATTTCTCCCAGCTTGCTGTACGGCCGGGCCTCTGTTTCCACATGTTTTACGTCTGTGTACTTCTGCAGGTGTGGGCTACAACCTGTTGAACACTTGCGTGTGTAGGGAACACGTGTGTGCTTGCGTCCTGTCAGTATTCTGCAATGCAGGAAGAAAGCCACCTCCATAGTGCTGAGTGGGTATGCTGTGGAGAGATGCTTTCATGTGTACACAGGAACGTGGGAAGGTTCTACACAAACTCTGCCATTTTCACCGAGACTCGAGCTGTGGTGGTTTCTGGCGTCTGTGCAGGCTGTCTTGAAGCCAGCCTTCCATAGGTCGGGAAGGACACAGGAGCTTGAAAGTTTCATAATAGCACAGAGGAAGAAGGTTCTAATCTTACAAGCATAAGACCTGGAGTCCAAAATGAAACTGACTCCATAAACACTATTCATGACGAGTGAGCTCAAATCTCTCCTTTCTCCAGTTAAATTACCTAATGAATCACACATATCCCTGCCCCAGCTCTCAGTGCTCTCTCCCCACCCCGCCCCAGCGCCAGCCCCTCCCCTGCCTGTCACCTGCGCCATCGCCAGGGCCATCCTGGTGACAAACAGGGACAGCCCCTGTCCAATCCCTTACGACTCTAGACAATCTTGGAGAGTGGGGTCTGTCATCTTCTTTGTCTAGTGCGCCTCCTTCCAGCTCATCCAATTCTGATTTTATATAAATATGCCCAAACCTGCCCCTGACAGATATCTGGTAGCCATGCAAGGTAATGCTTTTCTTTGGCTGTGTTGGGAAGGAGCCGGTCCTGCCTCTCAGCTGCCCCTGCGTGGCCATACTGCTGCTCTGAAGTATACTTGCTGTTCTACTCTCTTTGGAACTAGTCCTAACACCCCACCGTTTCCACAGTCAGGACACAGAATATCTTTGTCAAGGCAGGATCTCAGCATG